AGAAAATTTCTTTGGGCAATAAATGGAAGGGAGAAAAAGAAACAAAGAATTTACCAGTGTGTTGGGCTGTATCCTCATCATCACTTCCCTCTACTGCAATTTTGTCCTGCAAAACATATGAACATATTTTATTTAAAACATTTAAACTGGGAGAAACAGTATCTTACATATCATAAAAAATAAAAATAGGTACAACATAAAGGGAGAAAAGACCGACCTGCTCCTCAAAAATCTTTGAGAGCTTCAAAGCTCTTTTCTTTTCTAGCTTGCGACTTTTATTAACCCACGCTGAGATATCATCAGCAGCTTGTTTCTTTGTCCTTGTTTCTTTCATCTATCCAGTATAATAATATCATCAGAACATAAAATCTCATATTTTTAAGTTCTAAACTTATAAATTTAGCATTAAGCACACATTAAAAAAAGCCTAAATTTAAAGAACATTTATGTTATGTTCTGATGGAGGTGAGGAGAATGAGAGGATATGTAACTAAAACACTTGTTTAGAAGATTTTAAGGAGGCACATATAGAGAGATGTGTTCCTCTTCCTTTCTCCCAAGGAAAGGATTATTTTTATTTAAGAGATAATTTCCTTAAAAAATTAACAAAAATAATGTTTAATTTCTTTTTCAAATAATCTAATGTTTTCTGAAACAAAAACTGAAAAAACCAAAACAGTGCTTCCTCAGAAGCTAGAGAGAGAACTCTGTGGAAGAAAAATACAGTTCCTAAAAAATTTATAACATAAACTGCACTTCATCATATTGCTCCCTCCTGCAAATCCACCTTATCATTTCTACTAATCATACTGCGAATCAGACCAATCCACATCCATCAGAACACTAACCATCCAAAACCATTAAACTAAATCAGAAATCAACAAACTATTATACATAGTATCCTGATCAAATTGACACTAACAAACCAAAACCATAGTCCCTGATCAAATAACTAATTAACTACTATTTAACAATAAAAACAGAAACCAGTATCAATCTCACAATGAATAAATAAATAAGTTTAACTAAAGTATCAGCTCTATTATTACAACAATGAAAACATTAATCAAACACCTTGCAATCGGACATCAAACCCTAAAAGAGAGTGCAAACTTGGACAGTGAAGGACCGAATTTGCGAATTTAAATGAAGGAACATAATGATACGATTAATTGAAATTGAAGATGTGGACAAAATGAAGAGTGTTGAGAATGCCCTAAAAAATATTAAGGAGAAGGAAGAGAGATAAACAAAAGTACCTTCAGACAGCTTTAGAATTGAAACGCAGCCTTAGACGCGAATACGAAGACGGCCTTTGGTTCAGTTCAGGAATTTGGGTGCCACTCTCACGCAGCGTTTTGTCTACCCAAGGATGCTTTTGTTTCAGTTGGAAGAGGAACCCAGATAATCCACTATTCTGTAAAACCTTCTTATCTTAATTTGTTTGAAAATAAACTGCATTTATCTAATCTCTCCCCTAATTTTAAAATAAACAATAACCCTTTTGTTTTAAATAAAGCAAAATTATAATTACACACATCTTATTTTTTACATTAATATTCATCTAATGGAATGAGTAACATTACTCTTTTTTTATTTTGTTTTATTTTAAAATAATATCAAGAATAAAATATAAATAACAATATGAAAAAAATAAAATTAAAATAAATATAAAGTTGAAAAATGTATAAACTAAGTAACACATATTCCTTATTTTATTTATATTTATCTTTGTTTCAAAACTATATATAAATAAAATATGATTTTAATAAACTTGATTTTATAATTTAATTATTTATTATTGTATTATAACAGATTAAAGGTCATAATTTAATAAAGTGATATTATTTAACATCAATAAAGTGATTTCATATTTAATAGTTTACATCTAATATTTAATATTGTATTTTTATTAAATATAATTATTTTTACTTATAATTTATTTTCTATATATTCAATTTTATTCAATCATATTATAGAATGATTTTTAATATATTATAAACAAAATTATTTTATATTAATTTTAAATGTTCTAAAGATAAAAAATAATAATTATTTTTTACATATAATTTTACCACATTAATTAGTAATTCAAAAAAAATGTTTATAATTTTTTATTTTAGAGATATTTTTCATTATATTTGAAATTAAATTATTTTATAGTCATTAACAACTATGGTATAGAAAATAAATTATAAATATTTAAATGTATTATAATTATTTTTAAATAAAAAGTACAACATTAAAGATAAATTATTAAACAAAAATATAAATAAATATAATTTTTTATATGAAATATATTATTTAGAACCAGTAATAGTAACTTTTTGAAGGACTCAAAATTTCATATTTACCTTAATAGAAATAAATATAAAATAATCTATTATGAAAAATTATGAATTTATGTATAATATTTTTTAATACTAGTTCATTAAAATTATTTTTGATGTGTTGAAGTTTTTCTCCAAACAAGATTATAATAATATTTAATATTTTACATAGTAGAAAAAAAAAAACTTAACTTAGATTGTAATTTTTAAAGCACTATAAACTGAGTTTGAATATCTCCAGTAGAAATTTAGTAACATTTTATAACGATCTTTATAATATATTTTTATATTATAAAAAATGTTTTTTAATTTTTTAATATATAATAATATTTAATTATTTTATTGTATTTAGATCATAAACTAAAAATATCTTATGAAAAGATAAAACAAATTAAGTTATTAAATAAAAATAAAGTTAAAAAAATAAAAGTTATAAATAAATTGAGTTTGACTTGTAAAAACCCAATTGTTTTGGTCTCTTATTTTTATTCAATAGTTTGCAGTTTTTAAGTATTAGAAAAAACTTTGGGAGACAAGTGCAAAATTTGTATAGTTATTATTAATTTTGCATACTGTACATGTTAGGTAAAAAATAAAAAATATCTCATAGATAAAATATCTATGAGAATTTGTTTAAGTTAAAAAGGAAAACTATAGTACATAAATGCGTATTGGAATTAGTGTAAACAATTCCTAAATCTCTATAATTTTTATAATTTTTTTATTGTGAATAAGGTAATTTATTTTCAACGAGAAATTGCCTATTATTAGTATAATCATTTTGTTATTATTATGATTTTGTTTTTTAATAGATTATACATATTATATATAAATATAATAAATATTACTCCATAATCAATCAAACAAATTATATTGATTTCAACTTTTATTTTAATTGAATTTTATTCAAATCATATATAAGTCAAATTTAATCAAACAATAAAATTATATTTAATAAATATAATTAACGTGTATTACTAGTTATTATTATTATTAATTATTTTTTATTATTAATTATACTTTTGTAATTATTTTATTTAGGTAAGTTGATTAAAAGATAAAAATATGCTTTTATTACAGAATTATGTGCGAAACTTTTGATAAATTTGTGTTTTGTTTGATTTCTTTTTTTCAAAACAAGATTTTAATTTATAATATATATATATATATATATATATATATTAAATTTTAATCAATTGAATAAATTAAATTTTAATCGATTCACTCTTTGTGAATATCTCTAATCTCATATAATTTCCATTTACATTGTTTTATATATAATCTAAATAAATTTTTAATTACTCTATATATTTTAATATTTTGCAAAGATATGTCAAAGTTTTAATTCCTGTCTTTTTATTAGTCTATTTTTTTAGTTCTTATTAATAATTATAGTTAATTTAAAGTTAAGATAGAACCTAATAGTTAATATGATTAAGATAAATAAGAACATTTTCAAAGTAACAGAATTAATTTTTCTAACACATAATTTAATAAAGTAATATATATATATATATATATATATTATTTAATATCAATAAAGTGATTTTATATTTAGTAATTTATATTTAATTTTGTATTTTATCAAATCTAATTATTTTTACTTATAATTTATAATTTATTCTCTATATTAACTTTTATTTAGTATTATTATAAAATATTTTTAATATATTAATAAAAATAAATATTTTATATTAATTTTAAATGTTCTAAAATATAAACAAAATATTATTTTATGTTATATATAATCAGCGATATTAAGACAAATAAAATATTATATTATATATTTTTTTATTTTAGAGAATATTTTTATTTATTACATTCGAAATTATATAACTTTATAATAATTAATTACTAGTATTAAAATTAATATATAAAAAATACTTGTGTGAGATTATTTATTTATTTAAATTAAATATTGTTATATACCAATCTAATTTTATAATAAAAAAGAGTTAAGCGACAAAGTTTACATTTTCTTTAATGTTTATTTTTATTTTATAGATATATTGATTAAGTGTAATATGATAGAGGGATCTTATATTTATTTATTTTTATTTTTATGAGTTTTATTTAAATAAATAATATATGAATATTTTTTTATTATTTATTATAAAAGCATTTTTTAGAAGGATCTCATGAAGATTCGATTTCCGTCATTTTTATATTTATGATATTATTTGATTAGGTATAATAATGAAAAAAGGAGATTATATATGTACAATTATTTGAAATTTTATTATGATTTTGCTATTGGAATATCAGAAGTGATAATATAGATTATAGGAATAAAATATATTATTTTAGAAATGAAATATATTATTTTCATATAGATTTATTATCAAAATGATTTAAAATAGATATAAATAACTTTGACGGTACAATTCAATTAAAATAATATATTTATTTTTAAATATTTCAAAGAACTACCATTGAATTGAATGAATAATTTTATCCAGGGGAGTTATATTTGGATTTTTTTGTTTTATGCGATTTATTGTTAATTAAAAAGAAAGGTTTTGGTTTGAAGGGTTTTACAAGGTTTGGTGGAATAAAATGGTTAAGCTATTGTGTTCCATGACCTGTCTCTGCAGGTCTGCATCCTGGTGATAAAGAATTTGTGCATCCAAGTTGTAAATGAATGTTTTTTTGTTTGCTTAGTTCGAAACCATGGTTGCTGAAGGAACCAAAAGGCCTCAACTTTCATTACCAAGGAAAATAAACGTTCAGAAATATGCTGAATCCCGTGCCCTTGAGTTGCAGAGTCTTCAATCTATTATAGAAAATAGAGTAAGCAATGATTATAGGTCTCAAAGGAACAAGAGGAGAAGGACAACTGCGTTTGATAACCAAATTGCAAGAAAAGGGTGCAGAAGAAAGAGGCAGAAACTGGGAATAGTTGGTAAAGCCCTTGTTGAATCAGGTTTGGAGGAGGATACACTAAAGAAGCTTCCTCGGCGTGTTCGTCGGAGATATGAACTAAAGAAAAACCTAGAGAATGGTTTCTGCACTTCTGGGGATGGAACCAAGAGGCTGAGAACTCATGTTTGGCATGCAAAGCGGTTTTCTATGACCAAGCTTTGGGGTTACCATCTTCCGTTGTGTCTTCAAGGAAGGTAGGTTTTTTGGGTTAAAAGGAAACATAGGAAAGAGTCAATGATGGAACTTGAAGCTTATTAATTTCATGGTGTAGGGTTGTTTGAGATTTTGTTATTGTTGGGATGTGCTTGAATTGTATTATGGAAACCTGATGCAACAAGCATGAGTGTTTTATCTTTTCTTTGGAAACACTAACAAGGATTGTACATGTGCTTGTGCAGAGGGAAAGGTTCGAGGGCAATCTTGAAAAGGCTCAAACAAGGGGTGCTTGTGCACGATGCAAGCTATTATTCTGCTATCCAATTGGAGGGTCCAGAGGTAGTTTATTTTAGTTTGAATTTTAGCCATTTTGTTGGAAATTTCTTTTGTTTTTTATTGTTATGCATCTAATAAGACTCACTAAGGTGTTGTTCTGATTGAAACATATTGAAATGCATGCACCAAATAATTATTGTGGGTTCTCAGCCCCAAAATGTGACTATTTAATTTTCTGTTTTATTTATGGTTGACTCTTGTATACAGGATTCATTACTGTCAGTATTAAGATTGGTACTAGAACCCTCTCCAGCAAGAACAACACATACTGGAAATCATGATGACTCTGTTCTTTCTGGTGTAACCTATGGAAGTGCAATGGTAGGTAACCTGTTTCTGACTCTAGTAACTGTTAGGTTCGTTTGGTTTAACTCAAATAATTTTCGTTTCTATACAGCTGCATCATGTTGGAGCCCCAATTTCTCCTCCAATTGCTCCTGTGACCTATATGTGGCAACCAACTTCCCAAGAAAATATGAGTACACAGCTAGATGGACGAGATCATTATATTTCTTGTGGACAAAATGGTGCCAATAACGATTCAAACAAACATGATGTTGAATTATGTGAAAAATCAGACAATATGAAGCATGGTTCTTCATTTAGACACCTTTGGGTGTGGATACATGCTTCTGCCTTTGAAGAAGGATACGATAATCTAAAAGTTGCCTGTCGGAAAGAGGTAAACTTTCTTTCTCAGCTTCTTACATGGACCTTCCAATTATATTTTGTTTCTTCTAGTGTTTTTTCTTCAAAGTTTGTATCCTAAATCCAAAACCAGAGTCTGAGATTTCAGACAGAAAGGATTGAGAAAACATAATTGTTTCAATAGTGAATGTACAAACAAATTATTCTCCTTCCAAACAAAATTTATGTGCTTTTCCAAATTGCTAACAATGTTGAATGTGGGAATCTTTCTCCCCTCCTACTTAAGCTAGTCACATACCTAGTTTGGTAATTCTATAACTGCACTGAGTACTTTGCTGTAGTCTCCTTTATTTTTTCTGTCAGCCTACTTGAGTATATCATTATTTCTCTAATTCTGTAACTTAATATGCAAAGTTTTTTTGTCTGAAATCACAATATTATTAATCCTCCTAGAGAATTGTTTAAATGTAGATGTTGGAAAAGATGTTATATTTGGGATAAAAATTCTATTAAGATGAATCACTAATTTAGTTGGTGTTGCATAGTCAAGGTTAATTTTTCTGATGAAGTTGAAGAATTTAGAATTGAAAACTATTTATAACCATCTCATAATATGTGTTTTTATTATTCAGATGGAGAAGAGGGGCATTATAATTAATTGCTTTTCCCTTGAGGGTCAACTTGCAAAATTAGAATTAATTGGATTAGGGACATTTCAGCTTCTTCAGAAGATGCTGCATCCTGTCGGAGGGTTTGTTATTTAATTTAGGCAAAGCATTTCCTTTTTTTATTTTAACATTAGTGATCCAAAATGGTTTATTTTTCCTCTTGGCATTAGTATTTCAGAGAATCATTGGCAATTAAAGAAACATATGACAATGGAAGAAGAGTGTGTTTCTCAGAATAAAAATTCAAGAACACTGAAAAATGGAGATCATTTCTCTTCTTGTGCTATGATACCTCTTAATGTCAAGGATCCTCGAGAATTGCCTTGGAAGAGGAATGCTGTTCCAATAGGGTCCATTTCAATTAAGACTTTGAGTAACGAACAGGAAACAAAATGCAAAGAACTTGCTGATTTGGAAGGAAATTTGGAAGAGAATAAAGAATCATCTTCATTATCATGTTCAAAACTTGAAGACAGCCAGTCTAATATTGATGATTTGTGGTATGCTACGACCAGAGGGTTGAGGCCCCCATTGGAAGACAGTGTCCTTTCCAAGGAGAAACACCATAAACATATGACTAATTTCTGCCTTGATGATATAGATTCTGGAGAGGCTAACCCTTCAACTAAGGTGCAGTGTTTGAGATCTTGCCCTATTCTTCTTTTAAAAGGTGATACGAAGGAAATGATCATAGGGTAACTTCTTTAATCTATTTTCCTTTTTAATTTATTGAATTCACCGTTGTTTATGAACATATGATCACCTGCTTAAGATATATCATACAAGAACAATAATAAGACAAACATATCACAATTTTAGTTTTATTGCTCTGCTTAAATTGGACATGATTCCTTGCAATGCTTGAAGTATTCATGTCAAAAGTTTACTGTACTATACAATGAGTGCTTCTGTGATTGTCTTCTAGATGGTCCATTATACTTCCCTTAAGTTGGGTCAAAGCATTCTGGATTCCACTCATCACCAATGGGGCACATGCAATAGGTTTGCAAGAGAAGCACTGGGTTACATGTGAAGTAAGAATTTGTATTTATCCCCTGCTGCATAAAAATGTAAATTTTTAATGTAACTAAAATCTTTTTATCTTTTTCCAGATTGGGCTACCATTTTTTCCTTCAGATTTTCCAGATTGTAAGGCATACTCTTGCTTAATGGAAGATAAGGCTGTTGCATTTAATAAAAAGGAAGAACTTCGTCCTCCATCCGTTAGGCATTTGAGAGTTCCCATCCAACCTCCATGGGGTATTGTTAACATCACTTTCAACAAAATGATTAGTGCAATGGAAACTCCTGATCTTTCAACTAGGGAAGATTTGACCATCACTAATTTATCACCAAATCCTTTTCCTTTAAGCTTTAAAGTTTCAAACTCTCCCTCTTGGAGTAATTTGTTTGATGGAACTGTGGTTAGGACAGGTTGTATGCTGACCACTTTCCTCAATGAAACAAAAGCTGGTCAATTGTTATTGTTTCCTTATGCAGCTGATGGAGAGGCTAGAATCTCCAAGTTTATTAATGGAGAACTAAAGCTTGACCCAAGGTACAAAAGCTCTGACATATATGACCATAAGCTATGTTTTGTAAGAGTTCATCTTCATCCATTCAAGGAAGGATGTTTTGAAGAAGGTGCAGTTATTTGTGCACCATATCCTTCTGATATATTTTTATGGACTTCAAGGTAATTAACATTGAAATTATTAATTCCTATTTTATTATTGAGAGTAATGTTTTCTCTTGGTTGGATGTGATCTGTTATAGTTGTAAATTTTGCTGGTGATTTAGCCAACACCTATGTTTTCTCATGGTCAGGGTAATAGAATATGGTGTGTCAGTGTTATTTCATGTTCAGGTAATAAAATATGATATGTCAGTGTTATTTCAAGGAGTTTTCTTTTGTGAATTTCTCAATTAATTATAGGTTGGAATTCGGGAAAGAATAGCAACTAATAAAGCAACATTGATTTTCTTAAATTCTTTTTTATGATTCTATATGTTGTTATACATTGTATAATCTGTGGTTTTACTGACTCCTTCAAGTACAATATAAAAATAAAATTATTCATTCTTATCCTGTTGCTGTGAAAAGATGTTAAAATTAATTTTTTAATACAGACTAATGTAAATATCTTTAATACAGTATTTATGTATATTGTTGTAGTTCAGAGAGAAGTGAAGAGGGACTTCAAATGTCTCAGTCTGCAATGCGATCATACTTCAAAGAACATTCCTCTGGTAGATGGGAAATGCAGATACCAGATGATTCAATTTCTAGCAAGTCTCACCGTTGGCCTATTGGCTTTGTCACTACAGCCTCTGTTCAAGGAAGGTTATAAAATCTTATCCATTTTTTGATTTAATCTTTACTAGTTTGTGCAAAATGCCTACAAGAACATTTAAATGTCTTATTATAGAGAATTTAACGAGTGCAATGTCATTGCAGCAAGAGTCTTGTAGCTGAGGGCTTTTGCGAGGCCGTTTTACTATCTCATTTAAGAGAGGAACAGTGGAAGGAGATGGCTATGAAGCAGAGGAGGAGGGAAATATACGTACTTGTCAGGAATTTGAGATCTACAGCATACAGACTTGCTTTTGCTTCTATCATTCTTGAATTTAAGGAAAATGATATCGAGTTCTTATAAAATGATTTTTTGCTGGACTGAACTGTGTAATTACATTTCTACAAAGTGAATAGTCAATTATTTTTACCAGAAAACAGGAAAGCAAAGAAAACAAACTTATATGTATCTTCTCTACAAATCAAGAAATTTGAAAATTATTCATACCTGCAACTGCTGCATTTCAGTCCTTTTAACTTGTTCATTAATTTTAATAAATGTTACTGTTGTTATGTAATTGTTTTGATGATGTGACTCTTTCATATGTAAATTTTGAATGGCATGGATAAAAGTTTCAATCAGTTAGTAATCTTGTACATCTCTGTGTACAATACACTCAAAATCTGGTACCATCAATTTTCCCATTCAAACAAATTTCTAGGTCATGACCACTCATCTCTACCACTACTTATTTTTTTAATTTACCAAATTGTTGCTTCCTTCATTGCACTGAGTGAGATAGGCGTGCAAGCTTTAATGAAGTTAACTTGATTTACCTTTAAAATATGAAAGACTAAATGAAAAGTTTTAAAAATAAGAAATCAAAATTCAACCTAAAAATTAACCTTTATATTACGTAATTTTATAGTCACTAACCTTTATATTACATAATTTTATTAGTCACTAAATTATGAAAGTTGATATAATAAAATATTAACTTAATTACAATTTTTTATTTAACAAATCCAAAATAATGTAGGTTTAAATTTTTAGTATGTTGTTTTGTATTTAAAATATATTTTAGTTGGTTAACAGAAAAATACGTATTAGATACGAATAATTTATCAATATTTTATTTTTCGTCTCTAGCATGTATTAGTCTAATTTTATAATACTCAAAAGATTAAAGATAAGTAATAAATCGAGAATTAAAGAATAAAGAAAGAATCAATTTTTTATTTTTCGTCTCTAGTACGTATTAGTCTGATTTTATAATACTCAAAAAATTAAAGATAAGTAATCAAATCAATAATTAAGATTAAATTATATTAATAAAAACAAAAGAATGTATTTTAAAACTTGAGGCATTGCTGAAAACATATATTACGATGAATATTTGTCTCTAATAAATAATATAACACTTTGTGTTTAAACATAAGAGATAATATAATTATATAAAAAAATATCGTACTATCTTCAATTTAAAAATTTTAAGATATTAAATTTGTAGATATTTTAAATTTATATATTATTTTATCATTTTTATCTAATTTAAAACTTTAAATCATAATTAAATTTTAAAAAAATAAAATAAAATGCAGAACGAGGTCGTTCTTAGATGGTCACGATGATCATCATTTTCCTTCTTTATCAACTTTTAGTCCGAAGTTCACATCACATCCTTAAAGGAGGAAAGATCAAGATCTCAGTGATGCTTCCTGGTATGTCTCAAAAAGAGTTATGTTTCGTGCCAGTATCTTTCACTTATGATGATCCTAAACAGAAAAACAAAGTTGATATGAACTAACTTGTATGGCTTGTTTTACAATTAGTTTAAAAAACTAATCACACTGAAGGCAAATATAATTATAAAATATGACTTTAAAAATATATGTTTATTTACCAAAATCATATGGAAAATATAGATTTGGTCATGTTCTAGCTAAAGAACGAAGCTTGTAAGAAGCATAAACACCTAGTGCCAACATTAGAACCGTTGCACTGGTACACAGTAGCACATGCTTATTATCATTTTCATTGAACTCTTTTACCAAACTTGTCACAGCTTGTGAAGCAGAAGCAGCCACCTCCTTTATTCCTCTCCTTTTAGGTGATCCAAGATTACCAAGTTTACCATTCTTTGTGATGAAACTTGTCTCATCCATGACATCTTCCCCTTTTCCTTTCTGGGGTGGTTTTCCTGATGTAGAAGCATTCTCACTTTCTTCCTTTGTTTCTTTCCCATCAACCCTTTTCTTTTCACTACTTTCAAACCTTTCTTCTCTTTGATTCTTGTCATCTTGTGAAATTCCCTCTTCACCCTTCTGAGGCACAAAATCACTGTTTGATGTGGTTAAAACCTCGTCATTATTAGTTTTTATTTGACTCTCAGTTATTGATTTTGGTTCCTCACATGTTCCCATTTGACCCTTTTCATGTGATGAAGATCCAGGTGAATTTTCATCTTGAACTTCCCTTAATATGGTTACCTTCGGCATTATGATACGATAAATTTCTCCTTGGAACATACCCTTAAGCTTGTTCATGTCACAATTCCATGGAACTGCATATACAATGTTGAAGCGAATTGATCTGCTATCTCCAAGTGTTCGTCCACCAAAAACTCTAACTCTTCTATAATCATACTCAAATTGAGCACCTATATCATCTTCTGAATAACCTACTAGAAAGCGAACAAATTAATAAGCATGTTAAGGGAAACAAAATAACAGTTAGAATCTTTGATCTTATGTTACATAAACAAAAGTTCCTTGTGTAGAGTTTTTCTTAAAATTAAATAGTTTCACCGGGTTTGTTTGTTACATAACATATGAGAAATAATGATTGATAGATATATATGTTTGATTTGAAAGGGAATTATGAAAACAAAAGAAAAAAGCAAGAAAAAAAAAACATGGTTTTGTGGATGATGAGGTAATTAGTTAGCCAAACAAACCAGGAAGGTGAACAAGCAGGGAGTGTGATTCTGGGGTGTCCTTTGTTTCTAACTTTGGCTGGCAATTCTCATAGTTAAGGTTTGATTGCAATTCCATCAATTCTTTTTGTTTGTCTTGTCCTGTTTAATTTGATTGTGGGGTCATATATATTATAGAGAACTATAACTTTTGAAGATTTGATGACCATGGATTGCTCAAAGAATAATTTATTCCTTTTTCATTGCTTAATATTATGGCATGATCAATTAACTTTGAATTCCCCTCTACCACTTGGTATAACTTCTCGATAAATAAAGTTCAAATTCTTTGTTTGGCTTATGCAACTTAAAAGTTAAACAATATTAATCTTTTGACTACTTTTAGGTTTTAGAAGGAAGAAAAATATTATTCAAACACTAGACACCTAAATAAAATATTGCATACTTCAATCTTGTTTAAATATTAGTTTATATATTATATAAATACTTTTTGTTATTATGGTTTTGGTAGTTTTCTATATCATAGATTATAAAGTGAAAAAAAAAAAGTAAATATTGAAGTGTAAATGTAAATTTTTAATTCAAAAGGATATATTAAAGGAGTGATCGTGTGAAAAGTTTGATGGAGAATTTCATGTAAAAAAGTAGTGATTGAGATTGAACCACTTTACTGCAGTTGCATGAACCCATGATACTCTCACGTAATGGACAAACAATAATTATGAGGTAGAACAAAAACTTTTATATGAGAGAAAATGTATCATCGTATAAAAATAAATATTAGATATTTAATATTATTAATTGAATTTAAATTTTAAAAAATAAAATTTATTTATCTTTTTTTTCTAAAAATTGAGTCCATAATTATATTATTAGATATTTTTAAAATTTAAACTGATTTTTAAATATTTTAAACTAGAATATAATAAAATAATTAACTAATTTATAACAGATAAAAAAATTATATCAATTTCCATATTTCTATATTATATTACATATGCTAATTTGTTATAATAAAAAACAAAAATAATAAAGAAAATAAATTTGTTTATAGTTTTTACTTTTAAAAGAATTATTATAAGATTTTTTTGTCTTGTATCTTCTTGAACTGAAAAAAACTAAAAAACTAAAGAATAAAAAATTATAATTTATATGTTATTGAGATGGAATTATGAAAAAAAATGTACAATTTTTATGTTATAAGGTAAAATTATGAGAGGAATATAAAAATGAATAAGTAATAAAAATAAAAAATAAAAATATGAAAAGAAAGAATTAATGTCTAATAGAATATTTTTATAAAAATTGTAAGAAATAAGTTTTTTACAAATTTAAATAAACTTTTACAAGAAAATAAAAATACGTAATTTTTATTAATGAAAGATAAAAATTTAAAAATAGAAGAAAAAAAGTGTAAGTAAAAATTGTATAAAAATTTAAATTTTATTTATATTTATAAAATAATTTTATTTATATTTATAAAATAATATTTATTTAATTTTAAAATATAATAAAAAGATGAAATAGAGTGAAAAATATATATGTTAAAATGATATACGAATGAATAAAAATTATTATTTAATTAAAATTTAATATTTTTGCAATTACAAAATCCTCTATACAAATATTTTTAATTTGTTAGAATATTTATTAATAAAAAAATATTATAAAATAATGTTCCTCTTATCCTTTCTATTTTTTTTAGCTTATATATCAGGAAAAGTAAATATGTGCATTATTTTTTCTTTGTCACGTTTTTTATCATTGAAAAAATTGTTACTTTTCAATCTTTTTCAGGATTAGTCACTTTCAAATTTTCCAACCCCCATATTCGCAAGCCAACGAATAAAACTTGCAAATTGTTATATTATTATCTAATTATAAAATAATAACATAATAATAGTTATTATAATTTTGTCTAATAATATGTCCAGACTCAAATATACAACTATTTAGAAAGTTGGTTAACATAAAGTAGTTATAACAATTTCGTTTTCTTAACTTTTCCCCTAAATTTTTCCTTTTAGGAATTTGATATCAAAACTAAAAGAGAATATTAAATAAAATACCAACTAACAAAATATATGTTTTGAGAATGATTTAGTTGAATAATGAAATATTAATTAAAATTTGTTTATTTTGAAAATTATAAAAAAACTATTTTTTTATTCTAGACTAGCGAGTAACAATCTTAACAAGTCATAATAAACAGAAATATAAATTATTATACTAATATTTTGAATATAAATAAAAATAACTTCATTAGTAATATTTTGGACATGTAAATATAATTTATACATAATTTTAAACCTTTTTTAATATTTATTTTTAAAATATAATATCATTTTTAATATTTCATATTTATATTTTTTTAAATATATAAATATATAAAGATATAAATGTATAAAGATATAAATATATAAAGATATAAATATATAAAGATATAAATATATATATATATATATATATAAACATATAAATATATAAATATATAAATATGTAAAGATATAAATATATATCTTTAATATTTTGTATATGTAAATATAATTTATATATATTTTTAAACCTTTTTCTAATATTTATTTTAAAAAATATAATATTATTTTTAAAATTTAATATTTACATTTTTAATTTTTTTAAAATATATAACTGCATAAAGATATAAATGTATAAAGAAATATATAAATATATAAATATATAAAATATAAATATGTAAATATATAAATATATAAATATATAAATATGTAAATATATTAATATTTAAATATATATTAAAATATAAATATATTTGTATTTATAGATTTTATAAATATATAAAGATATAAATATATAAATATATAAAGATATAAATATATAAATATATAAATATATAAATATGTAAAAATATAAAGATATAAATATACGTAAAGATATAAATATATAAATATATAAAAATATAAATATATAAAGATATAAATATATAAATATGTAAAGATATAAATATATAAATGTATAAATATATAAATATTTAAATATTTAAATATATATTAAAATATATAATTATATTTATATTTATAGATTTTATATTTATATATTTATACAGATATACATTTATTTGTATATAAATATAATTTATTTATAAGTTATTATTGAAAAATCCTAATAAGCTTAGTGGTTGGAGTTTCAGCCTCCAACTTCAAATCCGACAATGACAATAATCTTGTAATATAAGTTGAACTTCTAAAAAATGTTATAAATAATAAAAATATAATATAAATGTAGGTAGGGGAGTCTTTAGATAAATAGATGGGTTGTAAATAAATATAAATAAAAATGTAAATAATCTTGTAATATAAGTTAAACTTCTAAAAATGTAATAAATAATAAAAATATAATATAAAAGAGGCAGTAGAGTCTTTAGATAAATAGAGGGGATGTTATAAATAATAAAAATATAATATAAATGTAGGTAGGTGAGTCTTTAGATAAATAGAGGGGTTGTAAATAAATATAAATAAAAATGTAAATAATCTTGTAATATAAGTTGAACTTCTAAAAAATGTAATAAATAATAAAAATATAATATAAAAGTAGGCAGGGAGAATAGAGGGGTTGTAAATAAATATAAATAAAAATGTAAATAATCTTTCGAATCCTCGATAATGATAATAATCTTGTAATATAAATAATAAAAATATAGTATACAAGATATAAAAGTAGATATACGTTGAACTTAAAAAAAATGTAATAAATAATAAAAATATAATATAAAAGTAGGTAGGGGAGTCTTTAGATAAATAGAGGGTTTGTAAATAAATATAAATAAAAATGTAAATAAATAAAAATAATTAACTTTGTCACTGGATTTAGCGATCGATATAAATCAGTCGCTATTTTTTTTATCTTTGTCATTGATTTAGCGACCAATTTAAATCGATCGCTATTTTTTTAACTTTATCATCGATTTAGCGACCAATTTAAATCGATCGCTATTTTTTTAACTTTGTCACCGATTTAGCGACCAATTTAATATATTAATTTTGGTCGTTATTTTGCGATCGAAATTAAAATCGGTTGCTAACATAATAGCGACTTGACCTTTTGCGATGACGCATTTCGGTCACTAACTAATTAGTAACCAATTTTTTAACATTAACGACCAAATTTTTTAGTCGCTAAAGTGATTTTTTCTTGTAATGATAATAAGAAATAGTTTTGTATTTTTATCTATTCACACACGTTATATGTTAAAAGTTATATTAGTGAATGATTGATAATAAAAATTTACATATATGTTTTCCTCTTAATCTATATGTTTGAAATACAAATATTTACATTTATTTCTTAACTTATATGTTTTCTCCTCGAAATACAAATAAAAAGAAAATATAGAATAAGTTATTAAATATATAACTAGTAGATGATAAAATAAATTATCATCCATCAACCGATAATTTTTTTATTTATCTTATCACTAATTTAAAAGATTAAGGATGGATTAACCTATTTTAAAAAAAATATTTATATATTAAAATAAAAATAATTTAATTAAAATATTATATTTTTTATTATATTATTTAAATATGTAATATATTATAATATTATAATTTAAATTATATTAATTAATTAAATTTAAATGATTGATTATAATTAAATTTTTGATATATAAATATAATAATTTTTTTATTTTATATAATAAAAATATTAATTAATAAATAAAAATTTTAAAATTATTTATATAATTAAATGTATATTTTTTAGAAAATACATATAAAAAAATTATATCAATTTGGTGGTTGGACCATTAGTCCATCTTTGACAAAATGAACTAGGATCTATAACTGTTTTTGATTATGATAAAAAAGTTTTTCTATTTATTCATTATTTATTAATAATATATTTCTTTAATACCTTTATAACGAAATTATTAGTATCCTTCAAATAATTACTGTACGTTGTTGTTGGTATTGGGCCTTCGGAGCAGACATGAATATCCCCCATAGCATGAATAGAGGAGTTATTATTTTCACACCATTATGAAAAAGGAAAAGAAAGTGTCGCGTGAAAGGTGTCCAATAAAAAAAAAGAAGGGTTATGTTATCTCTTATGGAAGAAAACTTATGCAATAATATCAGTGCTTATAAATTGGTACATGCAAAACTAAATCAAATCACAAGAATGACTTTTCTTAGGCTCGCTCCATTGGCTCTCTTCTTCCTTGCCACTTCCTGTATGTACTTTTCCATTCATCACAATTTTGAACATAGTGTGATATATACGTATATGTAGTTTTTTTTTTTTCTAAATTTTGCATATTATTTTCAGTGTTATCAATGAAGCACATAGAAGCAGGGGCTTGTTTTGGTTTTTGTGAAGTGACTGAGACGGAACCATGTGGCTCGAAGATATGTCTCTGTGTTTCTTTTGCACTAATTACTGGTATCTGCGTACCTCCATTTGCAGTTGAGTCCTATGCGAAGAGGCTGGATGAATATCCCAACCTATGTCTGTCACACCATGATTGTGTGAAGAAAGGAAGTGGCAACTTTTGTGCTCGTTCTCCTAATCCAAATGTACCTTTTGGCTGGTGCTCTCACTCCAACACCGAAGCACTGAAAGGTTTCTTGGCTATGCCTGAAGCAATTACCAAGTGAAATGATATAATCATGCATTTTCTACCTTAAATAAGAGTCTATGATGCATGTACTATCCACCACTTTAAATAAAACAGGTCTCTTATGTGTGTGTTTCCAACTCAGTTTATCTTAAAAAATTGGCTTGGAAATATTGACCTGCCTCATCATTAGCTTGCTTGACTGTCAGTTATTGATTTTGGTTCCTGACATGTTTCCATTTAACCCTTCTCATGTGATTAAGGTTTAGGTGAATTTTGATCTCGGACTTCCCTTGATATGGTTACCTTTGGCACATACCCTTAAGCTTGTTCACGTCACAATTCCAAGGAAATGCATATACAATGTTGAAGCGAATTGATCTGTTATCTCCGTCTGATCGTCCACCGAAAACTCTGACTCTTCTATAATCATATTCAAATTGAGCAGCACCAATATCATCTTCCGCATAACCAAATTGTAAATATCAAAATCTTCTGCATATATTTTAAAAAATAAAAAAAAAGTATAAATGTCAAAATCATAACTTTTTTTATTCTATGTAAAATCTTTAAGATGTTTTTAACCAAATTAACTATTTAAAAGTCCACCTCCGCGAATCAAACTTATATCCTGGCTATGAGCCAAGATTTGACTTCGAACTTTGTAAAAACATGGCTTTGAACTAGTTATGATTAGGGGTTTTGACTATATAATCTCAAGATGTTACAAACTTCAGTTTTTGAACTAGTTAAGAAATTAATTTTTTGTCGAATATTTTGTAGAAAGGGTTGCTCCTTCTTGCGGAAGATAAATATATTCATCACCTAAATTCCAAACATCTTAACACTAACTAACAATTAAATAGGGTAACAATATTTAAGTCTAGTCCAAGTAACCCACGGTTGAAAAGTTCACAACAAATATATATATATATATATATATATATCACTTAGTTTCCACTCGTATATATAGAACATGAAATGTGAATCATATATGATATGCACTCTTTATTCCACCATGGTTTGAGTTACAGTTTTTCACTCATGTACAAGTGTGAGAAAAGATTCATCGTAGAACATATTTTAGGCTCTCTCTCAAGAGGCAAACTTATAAGAGACATAATATCCCAATGCAGCAATGACAAGAACAGCAGCACCAATATTTGCTGCTAATTTTTTCTCTTCTTCATTCCATATCCCTTCTGAAAATTTTGTGAAAACTTGGGAGACAGAACCAACCCTTTCCATTGCATTATTTTCACTCTTCAGTTCCATTTTTAGAGAAGTTCTGTTGTTTGATTGCTTTTCCTTTGTCTTCTGAATTTTTGGAGCAGAAATTTCTGCTTCCTTGGCTAACAATTTTTCTGCCTCGGTTTCTTTCTCTCCAAAATCAGCCTGCTCCTTTTCTTTCATGAACTTTCTTGACTCAGAAGGTTCCTCTTTAACTTCCTTCTTTGTGATCCTTTTCTTATCTTCATCTTCATCACTTGTTTCCTCTGCATCTTCATAACTTGTTTTTTCAGAATCTTCATCACTTGTTTCTTCAGAATCTTCATCACGTGCTTCCTCTGTCTTCTTTTCCTCCAATTGCTCTTTAACTGTTGGCTTTCTGGTAACATTTGTTATTGCAGGTTTTGGCTCATCTTGCTCTTGTCCCTTTGGAGGTTTCTCAACTGTTTTGATGTTTGGTGCCATTGTTGGTCTTGCTTTAGGTTCAAATTTCTCTTCACCCATTTGAGGCTTTTCAGCTGTTTTGGCCTTTTTTAGCATAGTTGGTTTTGGTTCAAAATCCTCGTGACCCTTCTGGGACTTTTCAGCTGTTTTGACTTTGCTTAGCATTGCTGGTGTCGGTCTTGGTTCAAATTCCTCTTGAACCTTCTGGTACTTTTCAGCCGTTTCCACTTTGGTTAGCATTGCTGGTGTTGGCCTTGGTTCAAATTCCTGATCTTGACCCTTTTGAGGCTTTTCATCTGTTTCCATTTCGGTTTGCACTGTCGGTGTTGGTTTTGACTCAACCTCTTCTTGGCCCTTCTGAATCTTTTCATCTCTTTGCATTGTGGCTCGCCTTGCTGGTGTTGGTTTTGCCTCAAACTCCTTCTCACCCATACCAGAAGGACCGACTCTTTCTACAGCTTCCACTTGACCCTTTTGATCCTTTATTGGTTCTGAAGGGGTCTGAGATGGTGTATCTTCAAGAGTAGTTTTAGGTTGTGAGGAAACAGTTTTCTTGCTTTGAATTGGTTCTTCTACTTTAGTAGTTGTAGGTTGTGGTGTGGTGGTAGTATCTAGTTGTTTTTCGTCAGGTTTTGGTTCAGCTACTACACCTTGCTCTTGAGATGTTTCCACTTCTTCTTGTTTCGGAGGAGCTTGTGGAGTGGCCTTCTTCGGCATAGTAAGGGTGAGAACTGGGGTTTCAAACTTGGCCTGCAGTGCCCCTGGCTCACAATAATCAGGAATGGGATATGATTGGTCAAATCGATACCATCTCGTGCCTTGGATTTGTCTTTCTCCTGTAATCCTCACCGCTCGTGTAGAGGCCACAGATACCTTTACACTGTCCCTAGGAAAACCTGTAAATTTAAGCCACAATGATAGTATTAAGTTGAAATTTTATATAACTAAATTATAATATATTTCATCAAATTATATTATTTTTTTAATTTAAAATAAATATATGATATATTATTTTTAACTGGTGCCTCGTTATTAAGTAAATTTTGTATGCATTTTCCGAAATAATTAAAGAGAAAAATCAACGTGTGTCATAAAAATTCCATCAAATTTATCATCTAAGTTGGTTTGGTAATATACTTAATTTAAACAAACTTCTCTGTAAATATTTCTAGAAGACAAAAATAAACAAAAAAATGATGATAATTTTTTTCTTAAGTTAAAATTAGTATATTAACAAGTTTATTTTCGCATGTGCTACTCACTTCTTCTTTAACAATGTCCTTAATTAAGTTCTTGATCAAGTAATATTATAAGAAATATTAAAATTACTGATAGTCAAAATTTATCGGTAAATATTATCGATGAATTTAAATAGTCCGTCGGTAATATTTTTATTATTTATTGTATTTTTTACTTATTTTATAGCTTATTTATTTAGAGATTTCTCTCCCCTTTATATTTTTATAGTTTTGAATTATTATCATATTAAGAAGATTCGAATCCTTTATATTTTTATTATTTATTTCTCTCTTTATTATTTATTGACTGATTTATCGACAGATATATTCATCGGTTATTAATTGTTAATTTATCGACGGATTTACTTGACGGATATATCCGTAGGTAAGACCAAATTCTTTATTCATCGGTAATTTTCGTCGATAATGATTCATTTTTCGATGACTACAAATCCATCGATAAAAATTCATTGGAAATATGCTATATTTTTTTTTTTGTAGTGTAACTATTTTATCCTTTATAAGCATTATATTCATTGCAATTTATGATTCAAAGCTTGCATATGTGAAAAGCATTATATTATTCTAAATTTTATAATAAACACATTTGGTAATTCATTAAGGAAAGAAAAGGCATGAAGTAAGAGAAGGGTAAGATTTGCAAACCAGGAAGATAAACACGTAGAAGGTAAGCTTCTGGGAGATCTTTTATCTCTGATCGTGGCTGGAAAGTCTCGTACACGCGACGAATCGTGAGTTGTGGACGAAAAGTTGGTGTTCTCTGCCTGAAAGCCATAGCTCTGGAATATTAGGGTTTTTACTCACTAAACTGTGATTTTGTTTTATTTCAATTTTCGATGTTTCTACGTTTATATATATAATAAGGAGTGGACATTATTAAAATTAACAAGTTTACTTGTCAGAGAAACAATTCTTTGTTTGTCTTTGCTGAACTTGAATTATATACAAGGAATAACTTCTTAAAGTAATTGTTCTTTGTTTTGTTTCCTTTCTGTCTTTTTTTTTTTTTTTTATTGTATATATTGGTTAGAAAGGAAAAAAAAATTGTATTTTTTTAATTATCATCCAAAATAAATTAATTAGTTTTAATATCTTGAAGCCGTGATCAATTGTAACTTAAAAGTGTTCCACGCAACCACCTCTCATGATGATTTTCAAGTAATATATCATTTCTTCATCTTTCAAGAAAGTTGCGTATGAAGAAATAATACCTTATTAAGAATGTCTAAACATGTACTAATTTTAATATTTCAACAATTTACAACACAATTTTTTTTATATAATTATGTTATATAAATATTTTATTATTTTGCTAAATTAATTTAAGACCTATAAAAAAACTATTTGAGTATATATAATTTATTATCATTAAAAAAATAAGATTATAAATATTTTGTTAAAATAATATAGCACCTATAAAAACAAATTTCATATTTATAATTTATTATTATTATAAACAAATATGATTACTTATTTGTTCAAGCTTGTAACCATTATAAATATTTAAAGAAAAAAAAGATACTAAATAAAAATAAAATTTTACAGTGGTAAGAAACTTTTAATCAAATTTTACTTATCTCTGTTATTATTAAAATAAATAAAAAATATTTATTTATTTACTTATTATATAATTATAATTATTCAAATATTAATTTTATTCTATTTATTTATTTATATTGTTTAATTATTATTGGTTATTTTTATTTATACTAATTAATTTATTTCAGGGCTATGCTTACCACAATTCATGTGCATTCGAATTTCAGTACCAAGCGAGCCAAAGAAATTAACATTTTAATTTGGAGCGAGTGTCACGTGAATAGTGTGTAATAAAGAAAGGTTATATAATGTGTTATTCAACAAAACTTATGCCTAATTAATCAGTGCCTATAAACGTATCTTAAAAAGAACATTTAAAACATATCTTTTAAAAATTGTTTAAAAATAAATATTTAAAATTTTAATAATTATAATATAAAAATAATATTTACAATGTTTTAATATTTATCTTATAATATTTTTTCAAATATATATTAAATTATAATATTTCTTGATAATTTAAATATTTTTATTTTTTAAAAATAATAAAAAACTTATAAATTAAATTTTAATATAATATTTTTAAATCAAAATTAGATAAAATAGAGAAAAAAATAAAATAATAACAAAACAATTTTTTATTATTATTAAATTGTATGTATGAATAATAAACATATTAAAATGAATAAATAAATTTATAAAAATTCTATTTAATAATTGTTTTTAAATACACTTGTTTTATTTTAAAATATACGATTAAGGTTTTATTACAAAAAAATATAAATATTAATTTTTATTATTTTCAATAAATTTATTAAATATTTTTTATTAATATTTTTATATCTTTTTTTCAATCAACATATAATTAAAAAAAAGAATATAATTAATAATTAAGTAATTAATATTTTTCAGGTATAATTATGTTATATAAATATTTTGTTAAAATAGCATAAGACTTATAATAATTTATTTTTCAATATATATATATATATATATATATATAATTTATTATTATTAAAGAATAAGATTATAACTATTTTGTTAGTTTGCTAAAATAATATAAGATCTATGAAAAAATTATTTAATATACATAATTTATTATTATTATTATTATTATTATTATTATAAATAATATGATTCACTACTAGAAAACTAGTTTTTTTCTGCCAATTTTCTTGTAAAAAATTGTTTAAATTTACAGAAAACTTATTTCTTGCAATTTTTATAAAAATTTTGCAAAAACATTCCCATGAAAAATAAGAATTTTTAGTAGTGATTACTTATTTCTTTAAGTTTGTAATTATTACAAATATTAAAAAAAATATAAGATACAAAATAAAAATAAAATTTTAATATATATATATATATATATATATATTTATATATAAATTGATGATTCTCCTTAACTTTCTTATATAAGATTCAGAAGATAATAATAATTCAAAAAATAATAACTAATAACTTAAAATAATAATTGATAAAAAATATATAAATAATATAAAATATAAGATAATTAAATAAATAAAATGATTTTAATAAAGTTGTATATAATATATATAATAAAGTGGGAAGAAATTTTTAAGTATAGTTTATCTGGATATTAATATAAAAAGAATAAGATATTTATGACCTATTTATTTTATAATTATTATTATTTAATAAAATATTATTAATTTCATTCTATTTATTTATATTATTATTTCTATTTTTTATTTATTCATATCTATACTATTTAATTTATTTCACGGTTAGTCGTAACCTATGGTGACCATAATGCATGTGCATTCGAATTTCAGTACCAAGCGTGCCAAAGAAATTAACATTTTAATATGGTGGGAGTGTGGCGTGAATAGTGTCCAATAAAGAAAAGGTTATATTACCTATTATTCAACAAAACTTATGCCCTAATCAGTGCCTATAAATTGATGCATGCAACAAGCAATTAGCGCACACCAAAATTCAAAACTAAATCAAATCACAAGACTGGCTTTTCTTAGGCTTGCTCCGTTAGCTCTCTTTTTCCTTTCCACTTCTTCTATGTGTAGGTTTCCATCCAATTTTTTCATCATTTCTAATAATATATCTCATAACTATCAGAATTTTTTTTTTGAACATGTCTAAATACTTACCTGTGCTTTTATTCTGAATTTTGCATATTATTTTCAGTATTCTCGAAGAACATAGAAGCAGGTTGTTCTGGTGCTTGTAATATTTTATCGTCTAATCCATGTGGCTTGAGCTCATGCATATGTTATCCTGTTGGACTATTTGGAGATGGTTTTTTTGCACAAGTAAAGTAAATGGAGTTGAGTCCATTGTGAAGAGGCTCGATGAACATTCGAACCTATGTTTGTCTCACCATGATTGTGTTAAGAAAGGAAGTGGCACTTTCTCTCTCGTTCTCATAGTCCAAATGCGCCTTTTGGCTGTTGCTCTCACTCTGATTCCGAAGCACTAAAAGCTTTCTTGGCCATGCCTCGAGCAATGGGGAAGTGAAATGAGTATGATCATGCATCTTCTACCTTAATAAATAAATGTTAGTAATGCATGTATTATGTGAAGTCTGAATGGTTATTGTGCATTACCCATTTACTTATTCTTTTATTATAAATACTCATGTAATTGTAAACCTAATTGTGGAAATAAGAACTATCATCTAGTGCAGCTGCGGATGTAAGTCACTTTGACTGAACCATGTAAATTCATTGTGCTTTGTTAATTTTGTCTTGTATTATATTTGTGTTCTCAACAACTAGTATTATAGCTTATGTTTTTTTCATGCTGAGTAGGAGCAATGACAGAAGATGAGAAAGTGAAGATTGACAAGTTCGATGGAAGCAATTTCGGATTTTGGAAGATGCAAATTGTAAGAAAAACCAACCTTTGTCTGAGAATAAATCAGAAACGATGTCTCAGGCAGATTAAGAGTTGCTAGATCGACAGACTTTGGGCATCGTCAGGTTAACATTAGTGAAGAATGTTTCCTACAACATCATCAATGAGAAGACAACATATGGTTTGATAAAGACATTATCAATCATGTACAAGAAGTCATCAACATCAAACAAGGTATTTTTGATTCGTCAATTAGTTAATACGAAGATGCGAGAAGGTTCTAGTGTTACAGATCATGTGAATGAATTTAATTCCTTATTTTCATGATTAATGTAAATGGATATTAAATTTGATGATGAAGTACAAACCCTGTTATTGTTATCTTCGTTGCCTGATAGTTGGTAAGGAACTGTCATGGCAGTAGCCAGTACATTTGAGACTATGAAATTAACCTTTAAAGGAATTAAGGATTTGATCCTTAATGGGGATGTGCGTAGAAGGAATGCTGAAGAATCAACAAATTCCTTTTTAAGCACCGAAGGTAGAGGTAGAAAGCCTAAAAGAGGGCAAGGCTCTGGACGTGGTAAATCAAAGTCCAAGGAGAAAAAACAGTCCAAATCTCTCAACGATATTACTTGTTGGAATTGTCAGCAGAACAAATACTTTAGGAACCAATGTATTGCTCCTAAAGAAAAGAGGCATGATAATACAATGAATACAACAGAAAAAGATAGTGATGATGCGTTGATTTGTTGTGTTGAGAGCAAGTTTGAATCTTGGATCATGGATTCTGGTGCATCTTTCCATGCTTCTCCTTGCAAGGACTTGATGAAAAATTTCAAAAGTGGAAATTTTGGCAAAGTGCATCTAGCATATGATGAAACTTTAGATATCGCAGGCATGTGAAATATAAATCTTAAAACATCTACGGGTATAGTATGGACTCTGAAGGAAGGATGTTAAATATATTCCAATACTTAAGAGAATGTTAATCTTTATGCGTATGTTAGATGTTCAAGGATATCGAGTCATATTCGAAGAAGGCTAATGGAAGGTGGTGAATGGTAATCTAATTGTTGCTCATGGCTGGAAGAAAGGAACCCTATACATGGCAAAATTACCTACAAAAGAAGTACATTTAATTAGTGATGATGTTGGTCATTCTTCGATTTTGTGGCACTAAAGACTTGGTCACATAAGCGAGAAGGTATGAATATATTAGTCTCAAAGAGGAAGATCCTAGAACTAGAAAAGGTAGAAATTGGTTTCTGTGAACCATGTGTGTTTGGGAAGCAGAAAAGAGTTACTTTTGCAAAGTCAGGGAGAATGCCCGAGGTAGAGAAGTTGGAACTTGTTCATACAGATGTGTATGGGCCAACATCAGTCTCATCATTGGAAGGA